CTATCTATCTATCTATCTATCTATCTATCTATCTATCTATCTATCTACGTATCTATCTACGTATCTATATGTAACGTGCTAAAGTTAAATGTGATCTATTACAAGTCCGTAGCAAAGCTTCTGTGTTCGCTAAGCTTTATCTGTCTTTTCCATTTATATGTGTCAATGTTCTGACTGTTTATGAAAGAATGAACTCTTATCACGAATGTATGAATTTTCCGTTAGTGTGTATTTTGTGTCTGCCTGCAGGGTGACGGCCAGGGTCCCCCGGGAGACGGCGGCGACCCCCAGGACGAGGCGCCGGAGGCCACCGCCACCCTGAAGCGACGTCCCCGCGGCAACAAGCCCCACCCCAACGGCTCCGACTTCACCCTCCAGGAGTCGTCCACGGTCAAACGCCGCCCCAAGAGTCGCGACAAGGAGCCCGACGGCTACTCGGAGATGGCCGCCGCCAACGGAGATCCCGCGGGCGCCGGGCACCCCAACACCACGCAGCCGGTGCCCTACCAGAACGGTACGGCCACCGTGAAACGCCGGCCGGTGTCCGATGCCGGAGTGACGGAGCAACCGCAACCTCAACCTCAACCTCAGCCCCAACCCCAACCCCAACCCCAACATCAGCCGCAACCCCCCCCGACGGCGGCGCCCCGCAGGGACAGCCTGGACCACGGAGGTCCGGCCACCAACGAAGCGGGGCCCGCGAGAAAACCGAAGCCCCCGGTGTCCCCAAAGCCTGTGGTGGCGCAGATCAAGAGGCAGGCAGGGCCTCAGACCCCCACGCACGCCGTTTCCAATAAGAGAGTTCCCCTGCCGGGCCCCGGGACACCCGGAAGTCCAGGTACAGGTCATCATACGCTAAACACCCACCACTGCAATCATTTGGGATACTTGTGCCAATGGGTGAAGGGCCTAAAGATGTCAGATATTATGGGTGTTTATTAACCCTGTAATGCCAAATGTATCATATTTGACAGATACGGTTTCTGAAATGTTTTGCGTCTGACACCTTTTGCATAATTTAATGGTAAAAACTTTGCTCAAATTCCTATTTTACACAATCAGATACACCTGATAACAGAAGACTACACAAAAAATAATCTTGACTTATCGCATAGTAATAAATTATTAATATTAAAAATGTATTTAATTTTTTTCTTTTTACATATTTTGTTAAAAGGCCAAATAAGGAATTCAAACCAAAAAAACTATTTTCTTTTTGTTGGATCAGGCTTTAAAGCGTTAAACAAATGCTTTTTGGACCAATGGCTATAATGTCAAAATGGTAACTAATCACAGGACCCAAAACAAAAAGTCACAAAAAAGAGCATCTACAACTAATGTAAATACCAATACCACAGAACGTTAGTCAGAACATTTCAGAAAACTAGATTTAGCTTTACAAAGTATGTCCAGTTTTTGCTGGTCCCTATCCCCTACACAAAATGAGTAGTTGTTAATTTAGCATTGCTATTTTCTCTCTCCGTCCAGTTGAAGGAAAGAAGATTCCCCCACCGGTCTCGCCCAAACCGGCGCCCCCGCCCACGGCGCCCAAACCAGCCAAACTCATCCACTCCATGACCAGCCCCTCCTCCTCCACCATAATCCCCCCCCCCGCCCCGCGCCAGCCCCACGCCAAGTCCACCAGCCCCGCGTCCCAGAGCCCCCACACGCCGCTGACCCCCACCACGCCGCAGACCCCGCTGACCCCGGCCACCCCCAGCCCCACCCTTCCGCCCGTCAAGCCGCCGCGCTCCTCCATCGGGGGGGTGTCGGTGGACAGCGGGATTACGGGGGGGGGCTTCACGCCGCCGCCCGCCGCCACCCCGGACTTTGGCGTGGATTCCTTGGTGCATCAGAAGCTGGAGGAGACGAGCGCGTCGCTGGCCGCCGCTCTCCAGGCCGTGGAGGACAAGATCCTACGGCACGAAGAGTAAGGAACACTCCCAAACGAGCACAGAAACGTTCAGTCGACTTTTTCATCGAACATATTTTGGCACAGTCAGCCAGCCGAAGGGCTCCTCGGTCGACTGATCTTTGTGGGTGGTTGTGTGTCTCTGTGTGGCCTGGTGATGGACAGAGTCTACCTGGGATACGATCCAGCATCTTGACTTAGAATAAGCAACATCAGCAAGTCCATCCATCCATTTTTGTAACCGAAAATCCAGTGGACTGGATCTTCAATGGGCGAGAGGCGGGGTCCACCCTGGACGGACCACCAGTCCATCGCAGGGCCACACAGAGACACACAAGGACCAACAACCACGCACACTGACTCCCAAGTGGCAATTTGGAATGTCCAATCCACCTAACATGCAGGGGTTTTTTTTTGTATCGTTAGAGGAAGCCGGTTAACCCGGAGAAGACCAACACAGACACAGGGAGAACATGCAAACTTCACACAGAAAGTCCCTGGTTCCACCAGGGAGTTTAACCTAGAACCTTCTTGCTGTGAGGCGATGGTGCTAACCACCAAACCCCAGACAATGGCAAATCGATGGAAGTTAATGCACACAATCTAAAAAAATAATCATTTCTTATAAATGAGCAGTGTTATTAAGCATTATTTTTAAGACACGAGTACAAATTATAGTGGTAACGTTGTCTCGATATAAAAAGCTGATTGGAAAAAACAGACAAAGATTGCTCTCTTGAAAGGAATCGTGCCACTGCTTTTTTTTTCTTCTCCAGAATAAGTCTGTAAATAATGGTATCTGTAACCCTGTGTCTGTTTTTGTCCCCGTCCAGCTCCGTGGTGGAGCAGAAGACCACGGTCAGCATCCTGGACGACATCGGCAGCATGTTCGACGACCTGGCCGACCAGCTGGACGCCATGCTGGAGTAAAGCCCGGGCGTCTCCACGGCGACAGCCGCATCAGGAGAGGGGGGGACTCCCACGGCGCCAGACGCCAGAAAACGCTCCGATCTCTCGCTCCTCCTCTCTCTGCCGTGCTCGCGCCCTCTTAGCCGCCATCCATCCGTCCGTCCGTTTGCTAACCCCCGAAACGTCCCATTTTCCTCTCGTTTCCTGTCGCTCCACGCTAGGACGCTGATGGAATGGCGCCAGACAGACGCGTGGCAGAGAGAAAAGATAAACACCGCAAGACGAGGCTGAGGGGGGGAAAAAAAAAAGGACCAAATTACTCAAAGGGAGAGTATATAGGGACAGTAGCACTGAAGAAGGTGAGATGAAGAAACACACCCAAGCGGAGGATACTGTCTCAGAAGAACTCCACGTGGACTCTTTAAGCGAACAAATACTAATACCGATTAAAAAAACCGACTGTGTAATGACTCATAGTATGGTATGTGTACATTCTCAGCATGGAGAGTTTATATCTACTGAAAAAGTCCTGCATTAGCACAGTAATATATGATATACTGATAAATATAAATCTCTAGCTCTTTGGTTTAATGTCTTGGTTCTGTGTGGAATGGTGACCTCTGGTGTTGTGACCATGTAAAATGACTTGGTGGAAACATTTTTTTTTATTTTTTTTTTATTCGTGACCAAAACGAGACTATTCTGCTCCCCAAGGGGGGTGATCGTCGTCGGAGGCGGGATGACGGATGTGGTGTGTATGTGGAGTTTCAGGACGCACACACACACACACACACACACACACACACACACACACACACACAC